GGAAGGATGTGCAGAAAGTGTGGGATCAGCTGCAATTCTAAGTGGATTTATAGCATCTAAATGGGAAATTCAAAGACATAAAAGAACCATTTGCATCACTAATGTGCTTATTTCTTAAATGTACTTTGAAACACTAATGGTGTAACTAAAGGAACTCCATTCAATCATTCCATAGCATCTTGTAAGCTGGCCCCACCCAAACTGGCTCAGCATCTGTAACTTGCCTTCCTCGTTTGCTGCTGAATGCTCAGCACCCATACCGATCACCTTAGGTGCTCAATAGATATTTGTTGAATGAACATCACTGCACCATATTTTCTCAGTTGACATCTCAACTCGATGGACTTGGATGAAATCTGGTTATATTATTCTTTGTTCCTGTTTAGTTATTTATTTTTCCTCCACTCACTTACATATACCTCATGCAAATACACTATCTCTTGTATAAACAGCAATAAGCTCTATGAAGGCAGAACCTACATCTCAATCACTCTAACACCAGGCAGTTTCTTTGTAAATGTTTGATGAATTAATCTCATTTCATCATTACAGATCCCTATAAACTACCTAGTACATTTAATTTCTATCACTGTACAGATGAAGAATGAAAGGAAGAGCAACATTATGCTCAATGGCTATTTTATGGTTAGGATATTTTTAATCCTTACTGATAATTACAAAATACAAATCCATATACTCCCTTGGTCCAAATATTACAAGATCCAGAGTGTAATCCTCTGTAAAACAGAGATAATAATATATTCACCTTAGGCCTAAATGAGATAGGGATGTATAAACACACACACACACACACACACACACACACATATATTTTTTGCAGTAACAAGGATTGAATCCAGGGACTTGTGCATGCTTGGCAAGTATTCCATTACATATGGAACTCTATTATATATAGTTCATTATATATGAACTCTATCCTCAGCCCTTTTCTAAAATTTTGAGACAGGGTCTCATTAAGTTGCCCAGGCTGGCCTTAAACTTGTGATCTTCCTGCCTCAGTCTCCCATGTAGCTAGGATTACAGGTGTGCACCACCACGCCCAGCTACAGAAATCTTTAAAACCATAAGGAAGGGGTCAACTCTTGAAGGGAAATCTGGCTTGAGAGAGGAAGAGTATAGGAAGAAGAGGTCATCTGAAGAGATGAGGAGGAAAAGGAGAGGCAGCACTGGTTTGGTCCAAGGGACTGTTCCTTTTCCTTTCTAGATCTGTGAGGTCTTAGGACAAGATTTGTGAGATTCTCAGGATGAGAACCCCTGGGCTAGCCAGAAGGGCTTCTTGGTCCACTTGGAATTAGACTGAATGGCCTTGATCCTCATCAAAGTCTATCAGTCCAGCAGAGAGAAAGTAGAGCTGCCAATCAAAGGGAAAAGAAAAGGTTTATAGTGATGTGGATGAGGAGTGATGAAAGGTAAATGATGGTAGGGAACCATGGAGAGTATTTGGGCAAAGGCATTATGCGAAGGGTGGCAGAGAATTCTGGGAGCAATGCAGTCCTCAGAAAGCATGATGGGATAGCAGAGAGAAAGCAGCTGGAGGAAGCACTGGAAATGAGGCTGCACTGCTGTTTGTTCTAGTTGGCATTTTGCACTAAGATGCATCTGCCAGTCCCAGTTCGCCTGATGGTCTATGGTACAGGTAGAGGCTAGAATAAAAAAGCAATGTGTGATATTTGGGCTTGTTCTAACTGTTGGCCTAAGTTTCTTGTATCATTTTGTAATTATCCTTAGCAATCATTTTTAGATAACACCTGAAAAACAAAAACCAATATCTCAGTCAGAGAAATGTAAGTAATAGAAATTGTGAATGATTTAAGAAAAAAGAAACTTAACTGAAAGGATACAAACAGTTGACAGAGAGGCCGGAGAGTCAGATATGGAAAATATATGTTATAAACCAGGAAGACCAGGCAACAGGAACCACAAGTGAGTTCTGGCCTCAGAAACAATTTGGTGTGGCCATCATCACCGTGGTAGGGATTGGACTCCTCACCACCAATGCCCATCTGAAAACTGCCACTGTTGGATATGTCTGTTTCTGTTGTGATGAATAATTCTAAAATTGTCTCTGTCTTTGTGTTACTCATGGAAGATTCAAAGTTAAGAGGGTAGTGGCCAGGGGCTGAACATAGGTCATATGTTATGTCCTAGTTGCTAAGGAGCAGGGAGAAGAACTGGGCATTTTCCCAAGTAGGGAGATGTCAGTTGTCAGTCAAGATCACAATCCCAGTCTCCTAGGCTTAAAACTTTAGAATCATATTCATCTTCATTTTCTCAACATGAATAACTCTCTTGATTTCTCAGATATGCCTTACCTTCTGTCACCATTATTGCTTTAGTAAGATTACTTTGACATCAGCATAGAGGAAAGAAGAGATGAAATTTGAAAGTCAGACTTCTAGAATGTTAGAGTTGGAATAGACCTTTGAACTTTTCTATTAAAGTGGTCTTTCCCAGAAGTATCCATTAGAATTCTTACAGCATAAAAAAAAAAAAGCATATTCTGCCATCACCTGCCTCAGTTTTTAGGTTCAGTAGAGCTGATGTGAAATCTTGGAGTGTATGTGTGTGGTGCATCCTAGATTGAAAACTGCAGAATTTCAACACCTTTGTATTAAGAGGAGGAGATTGAGACCGAGAGAGAATGTAGCTATTTGAAATTACACAGGGAGTTAAAGAAAGCGGGCAAGACCAAGCTCAGATATCCTGACATCTGGTCCAGTGCTACTAAGACCTCCTGCTTTTCTCTTCTGCAAAAGGAAATTTCTTGTCTTTATTTGTATAGCATGCTTGGCAAGTGCTGTCACTGAGCTACATTCCCAGATCCTGCACTGTGACTTTGACCAATCACTCTGCCTTGGATTGGTTTACCACAGGCTCTGGACAATCTCATGGAAACTCAGGGTCTCTAATGCCTTCTATTACATTAAGTTTTAAATTTTGTTTGTGACAGTCTTGTTGCTCACCTCCTGGCATAAACAGGCCCTTCAGATTCCAGAAGCCAGCAAGAGTGAACAGGCCCCATTTCTAATGATGGTTGACTTGATCTCTGAATCACAAGTCTCCCTTATTAGAACTGGGCAAAATATCCTCAAGAACCTCAACTAGGGAGGGGAGTGAAGAAATCCCATGGATAAAGGACAGCTAAGCCAAGGACATACTGCTTCTTTATCTGGAAGGATTTCAACTGTCTGGGCCTCTGTACACACAAATATTTGTTTCAATTACTCACTGACCCTTTCTTTCTCAATTCTTGACTGTCTTTTTAGCCATTTAGTTCTCATGTTCGGAATCCATCTTTTACTTTTTTTCTGCTCTTTGACTTTTTTGGAGGGCAGATGAAGATGGAACCCATGACTTCAAGCATGCTAGGCGAGCACTCTGTCACTGAGATACATTCCCAGATCCCTGCACTGTGACTTTAACCAATCACTCTGCCTTGGATTGGCTTACTTACAGGCTTTGAACTATCTCATGGAAACCCAGGGTCTCTAATGCCTTCTATTACATTAAGTTTTTAGTTTTGCCCCCTTTACAAAACTCCTGTGAAGATTACTAATAGGAAATGCCATTTATGTAATACCTTCCTCCTCCAAATCTACCTTACCAGAAAGAAAACAAAAAGTAGGAGACCTGCTGTAGCAGAACCATTTCTCTATCAGAGGGGAGCAATTCTTTTTCTCATACCCCCTGCATCCAGAAAGGGAACTGGCATCAAAATCTGAGCACCTCACGTTGGCCCAAGCAAGAATGACATGATCAGAGGTGGCCTTCAAGAAGAACTGTGGAGGATAGATTAGAGCAGTGGTGGAGAATCTATGGCATGCATGCCACAGCAGGCTGTTTGTATCACTGAAAGCTCTAGGTTTGCCATTACTAGATTAGAGAAAGAGAAGCTGTGGAAAGGGCAACAATTTATAGAAGCAACCACAATATTTATTCTAGGGGAGGAATGATGAGATTTGAATTGAGCAGTGGGAGTGGGATGAAGAGGAGGGATCAGGTGGAACAATAGTCCTTTTGGTGAGAGAACTGACAGGATTAAGTACCTGAGAGGATATGGGACACGAGGATGATGTTAAAGATGGCCAGTTTAGCAGCTTCCGACCAGGGGATGATGGTACCCTTAGTAGGATGAGGAAAACAAGAAAAGTTGTTTCAAAAGAGTGTGGAAGAGTGTGACATTAGTTTTGCACCTGAGGGATACAGACCTCCTTGGGATATTTCCATTGGGCAGCTGAATATACAGGGCAGGACTCAGGAGGTCTGGGCTGCAGATATCAATCTGAGAGTTTCAGAAGGAAGACAGTGTGAGGTGGACCAGAGGAGGATGCAGAGAAGGGGACAGCGGCCTGAGCTTACAGGTTCATCTACATTTAAGCCCCAAACAGTAGTGTCACTCAAAGAAGGAGTCTTGAGATGGAACTAAGGGAGTTGCAGAAACAAAACAAAACAAAACATTACAGTACGATTTGCCAGTCAAAGGAGGGGAGTTTCAGGAAGGCATGAGGAAAGAGGATGAGATGGACCGACAAGAGGCTGTTGCATTCGGCAGTTACTCCACTGAAGACACTGGTCACAGTGGTCCTGGCTTCAATCCACCCCGTAATCCTTAGGAGAGAGCGCAGGCCCTCACCTCAAACGAAGCACTAAATCGGGTTTCTGGATACTATGCAGGCTCCACACTTACGTTAGCCTGAGTGATCAGGTTATTTCAGGATAAACAAGTGTAATTACTTCATAAAATTTAGTATCGGTCAGAATTCCAAATAAACCCCTTCATTTCTCAACCTCATCTGGTTCAGAAACAGAAAACAGCAAAAAAAAGCTCCGGAGCGAGAGGCTGAAGACCACATATACAAGGAAGAATAACTAATAAATATTAATGAGGCAACGTCTCCCGCCAACCAGGCCCGGGGAAAACGTTCTCCTGGCCCAGTGGAGCCACGCCCTTCCTAAATATGCAGATGAGTTGCCTGCCCCGCGCTGCCCCGCCCTCTACACTTCTCCCTCGCAACGGACTCTCCCTTCAAACGGGAAACAAGATGGCGGCGGCAGGTCCGAGTACTCGGGCCTCTTCCGCAGCGGTAGCTACGGCTCTGAGTCGGCGGGGCCGGCGGGGTCGCTGTGACGAGATGGCGGCAGCAAAGACTGGGGTCTCGGGCCCGGCCTCTGGCCCCGCGTTGTTGGTACTGCCGTCGCCGCCGCCTTCGCGACCGGAGGAGTCGGGCTGCGCCCTGTGCCTGGAGACTCCGGGGGAAGCGGCGGCCCTGCCGTGTGGTCACTCGCTGTGCCGAGGCTGCGCCCAACGCGCCGCCGACGCGGCGGGCCCCGGCTGCCCGCGCTGCCCCGTGGAACTGGCT